GATTTATAGGACATTAATTATTATATTTGATTTGAATTTAATTGCAAATCTATTTATTAAATTTTGAAAATTTCCCAAGGTATACCGACATCAAAATTTGTAATAAGAGTTCATGAAAATTTCATACCTTAACAATAGGTAAGGTAACTATGCATACACCTCGTATGCAGGTAATTAAACCCATAAATTACCTATGGTCCAGGTAATTAAATCTATAAATTACCTCTAGTCTAGGTAGTTATACTCTCTATCCCAGGTAATTGAACTCATATAATATTTTGGTATGGATCTTTAAACTCAACTAAGATAAAAATCCATACAAAATTTCTTTGGAAAACCAAAAAAAAACTATTACATGGAAGGTAGGTACGTATGTATATATATATAACTCAAGAAAAAAACACCTACCTGTAAGGTAGGTACATACAATTCCATTTATATATATACAAGGAAACATTGAATTTTAGGAAAGTGTTTTCATATAATTCCATTTATGAAAGTGGCATATCCTGTAACTTTTTAAAAAATTATGGACATACTAATTGCTTAATTGGTGAGATTGGACTGTAATTGAAAAGAGAGAGCACATGGACTGCATCCATTACATCTTGATGAAAATGGATCTATATCTAAGAAGCCCTAAGAAAAACAAATAGATTGAGCGCTGAAGATGAGCTTGAGGGTGGTAAGGGGAATGTGGGACCAGGCTTAAGGGAAGCATTTGCTTCAGATATATAAGGTAGGGGTTAGGATCTCTCTCGTATAGTATGAGGGCATTGAAAAAGAGATCCAAGGCACGGGTCACCGTAGGAGAAGGAGGATAATTTCATTGTTGTGCAGCTTTTTATAGTATAATGTTTTTTTTTCTTTCCAATTTATGCACCTAAAGATAAGACCTAAGTCGTGTGTTATTTGCATGGAGGGCTTTGACGATCGTGAAGTTATTCGCTAGCCTTGATTGCTCACACGTTTTTCATGAGATTTTGCATCGTTCAGTGGCTGGAGACAAGTCACTTGTGCCCTTTGTGTCGATATGCAATGCCTCATGACTCATGAGCATTGATTTTTGAAATATTAATTGTTTGATTTGAATCTTTAATTAGTATTCTTATGATGTCAAGATTGTTAAAGGTTTTGTTTGTTTTTGCTTTTACTTTATAATTTGTTTGAGACTCCTGTTGGAAGCTAATCCAAAGGAAACAAACAAGAATGGAATTAGCCTAGTTTTGTAAGGAACGTTCATGCAATCTTGGACATTCTTACATTACAATCCTCTTGCGATAAAAAGAAAAAAGGAAAATAGAACATGAAACATAATTGAACAAACTAATTCTTTGTTTTGTTTTGTTTAATTTGATTGTAATGTAATGTGTCTTACCTAGCCACGCATTTATAATATTTTAAATTTTTATTTATAAGATATAATATAAAAAGGAAAAGAGTGCTTCCACTTAAAAGAAAATGGGAAATTTTTGATTGATTGTTATATTTTGGGGTTTATATTATATTATTTTAAGGTATATTGAAAATCGATATGATATATATATGCATTCATAATAATAACTTGCTTCTGAAATTTCAAGTATATTCAATTCTTGCTAACTTTTTTTTTTTGTCTTCAACTAACACATCATCGATGATATCAAGAGGGTACCCATACCAAGAAAAAACATGGTATATTTAGTATTCATTTGTGGCAAACTCATCACTAGAAGAAAAAACAATATATTTGGTATTCATTGTTCCCAAGTCTTGTTCTTGTTATTTGAAAAAATACCACGAATTCGTATTTTTAAAAATAGAATAAATGGATAAAAACTATTCGTTGTACAAACTCGGGATTAAGACAGCGTAGGCTATTCATTACACTACGCACTTGCAAAATCCCATTTTCGTCGTTCTTGGTTCCTTCTCTCATCTCTTCGCATTTATAATCCCCCAAATTAATCAACCTTATTCAAGCTAGTTACCATGTCCATCGATAGATACTTTGAAACCCATGTGTGGCAAAAAGCAAAACCCTACATCAACCAATCCCATCTTCCACCCGACTTCCTTGCCATCAGATTCAAACTCTACAAGTCAACCATAAGAGCTTGGTGCCCCCGAGAAGAAGATCATGATGTTCCAATAGTTGTTCCATATTCACCAAGAAACCTCGTATTTGTAACTCAAGAAACCATAAAGGTCCATCGAACCATGTTAAAATTCTCTAGTACTACATCCCTCATGGTTGACATTCTCTCGATCATATGCTTGTCCCCGAGAATGAGCAGCCAGCTCTTATCGAAAACATATTTCGTGTGCTTGTCAAAAAATATTCATCGAACCATACGAACACCATGCTCCCCATTGTTATTGGCATGATGCACGCCATCTGGGAGTTCCACATAATTGATTGTTATATTTTGGGGTTTATATTATATTATTTTAAGGTATATTGAAAATCGATATGATATATATATGTATTCATAATAATAACTTGCTTCTGAAATTTCAAGTATATTCAATTCTTGCTAACTTTTTTTTTTTGTCTTCAACTAACACATCATCGATGATATCAAGAGGGTACCCATACCAAGAAAAAACATGGTATATTTGGTATTCATTTGTGGCAAACTCATCACTAGAAGAAAAAACAATATATTTGGTATTCATTGTTTCCCAAGTCTTGTTCTTGTTATTTGAAAAAATACCACGAATTCGTATTTTTTAAAATAGAATAAATGGATAAAAACTATTCGTTGTACAAACTCGGGATTAAGACTGCGTAGGCTATTCATTACACTACGCACTTGCAAAATCCCATTTTCGTCGTTCTTGGTTCCTTCTCTCGTCTCTTCCCATTTATAATCCCCCAAATTAATCAACCTTATTCAAGCTAGTTACCATGTCCATCGATAGATACTTTGAAACCCATGTGTGGCAAAAAGCAAAACCCTACATCAACCAATCCCATCTTCCACCCGACTTCCTTGCCATCAGATTCAAACTCTACAAGTCAACCATAAGAGCTTGGTGCCCCCGAGAAGAAGATCATGATGTTCCAATAGTTGTTCCATATTCACCAAGAAACCTCGTATTTGTAACTCAAGAAACCATAAAGGTCCATCGAACCATGTTAAAATTCTCTAGTACTACATCCCTCATGGTTGACATTCTCTCGATCATATGCTTGTCCCCGAGAATGAGTAGCCAGCTCTTATCGAAAACATATTTCGTGTGCTTGTCCAAAAGTATTCATCGAACCATACGAACACCATGCTCCCGATTGTTATTGGCATGGTGCACGCCATCTGGGAGTTCCACATACCATAACTCATATTTTTGGGGAGGTTCTTGTAAACATGGTCGATGAAGGGGATGAGACATATTTTTGGTGCACGTCATCCTGGTATAAATTATTCAACTTGGAGGTGATTCTAAACTATTCATAGATTGGAAGGTTATCTCTCTGATGGTGCTTTTGTTACATTCCAAGAGTTTATCTTGAATCTTGATCAACCCTTTTTGTATGGGCTCAAAGTTTTTTTTTTTTTCCAATCCCCTCAATAAGTTTTCTTGTTCGAGAAGTAACTAACTGACTTAGGATAACTCCAATTTTAGTATTTTCTTATAAGTTGACACTTACACATATGTATATATATCAGCATCATTGTTTGAAATCTGAATAGATAGAATTGAACACACATGATCTATATATTTGATAAACCATTGATGAATTTTGTTAAAGCATATTTTGTATATATTTTATTTTGGTTGATGCAAATATTTTTCCATTGGTCCATTAATACACTGCCACGTGGATGACGGTTCATGACAAAATGCCACATCTTCTCAAGTTGCACCGAAGTATTTTACCGCTTTACCTTTCTCCCCTCCAACAATCCAACTGCAAGTCCGAAACAATTTCAGCTTTATTGAGATTTTCTATTTAAACCCCAAATTTCTCTTTGTTCACCCCAGTACTTAAATCATTAAGCTGTAAGTTTTATTATTGTGTAAAAAGACAAAAAAGGTCATCCAACTTAATACTTAACCCTAATACATCTATACACACACCCCACACACCCCCCACACTCTTCAACACAGGGAGACCATCAAGGTAAAGTATTTGAGTTTCTTCATAGTGTACGTTGGGCAAAGGTTCTCAACACCTTTATATTTTGCTTATTTCTCATCATGCAAATTCAATACAAAGTTGTTTCCTTAACCTTTCAACGTCTATGAATATTAGTCTGATCTCTGCATATCTGTATACTTACACACATAACTGATATAAAAGGTAATGTCCCTTCACTCAGCAAATATGCATACATATTTAGGCTCATCAACTGGTTTATAATTATAATCTCTCTCTGATTTTCTTCTATCATGAAGCAATTGGTGTTATGTTTTTAATTCACCAAGCAACTTGGTGGAATTCCTTGCTTTGTGCAACTGAATCCTCGGATTTATTGTTTAACTCGGCCATATTTTTAAATTCTCGGATTTTGCAAGTGATTTTTCATCATATTCTTGCATTAATTAAAGCAAAATCATTTTCTGATGTTGTTTCTGATCATTATCTCATTGAATCAATTTCTCTTAAAAGTCTGTTTGATCTTCATTGAATAGCACCCTACCTGAGCACATTCTCATATTTTACTTGGTTCTTCTAAAGGCAGTATGTTCCAATATACTGATTAGACACTATATATTTTAGAGATTTTCTATTATTAATATTATTAATAAATACTTTTGGTATTGAAAGGTCCTGCACACTTTTGGTACAGTACACTGAGTTTGAAAGGAGCTCACTTTTGGTATTGATGCAATTGTTTTTTTTTTTAGCAGCCAGAACAAATTACTTTTACTCCAAGCCATGATACCAGGACAGAAAGTGTTTTGGACACAACTAAACAATTCACAACTGATGAGGTAAATAAACTATTATTATGATGTTGTAACTTATGAGTGGTTGATAATCTTTTACAACTGCCATATATGCTTTTATATAGATATTTAATAGTCAAGAAGCATTGCTTAATTGGAGTCATGTGCAAGGACGAAAGTGTGGCATAGTAGTTGTCATTAAAAGGTCTGATGGAGTTGGAAAAATTATAACGAGGAGGGCTAGAGTTACTTTAGGTTGTGAGAGAGGTGGGCATTATATTAAGAAGCCTAATGTAGATTTAGATGATGAACAACCAATGAATTCTGAAGTAGATGTAAGTATTGATCATCGGAAAAAAAAAAAAAAGCGCTCTAAAAGCACTGGTACAAAGAAGTGTGGTTACCCATTTCAGTTGAAGGGATTAAATATTGGTCCTGGAGATGAATGGAAAGTTGGGGTTGTATGTGGAGTTCATAACCATCATTCTGCTGAGTATCTTGAAGGACATTCATATGCAGGACGGTTAAGCAAGGAAGAAAACAACTTGCTGATGGATATGTCTAAAAGCTTGGTGAGGCCAAAAGATATATTATACACCATTAAACGACGAGATGGCAAAAATGTAACAACAATGAAGACAATCTACAATGCTAGACACAAAAGCAGAGTGGTTGAGAAAGCTAGTAGATCTGAGATGCAACTATTGCTATGTAGACTATCTGATCACAAATATATTAATTGGCATAGGACTGATGACACCAATTGTGTGAGCGATCTTTTTTGGGCTCACCCTGATAGTGTAAACTTATTGCACGCATTTCCTCATGTACTAGTAATGGATTGCACATATAAGACAAATAGGTTTCGATACCCATTACTACAAATTGTGGGGGTAACATCGACGAAACTAACATTCTCAGCTGCATTTGCTTATATTTCTTCTGAAAAGGAAGACAACTATATGTGGGCTTTGAATAGATTGAAAAGCATCATGAATACAAATTGTCTTCCAAGTGTGATTGTCACTGATAGGGAAATGGCACTTATGAATGCCATTCGCAATATGTTCCCTAGTGTCCGACATTTATTATGTAGATGGCATATCAACAGGTGTGTGATGAAGGCTTGCAAGGGCATACTTAAGAAAGGTGAAAAATGGGAACAATTTATAGTGTTATGGAATATGTTGGTCTTAGCAAAGACTGAGGTTGATTATGAAAGAAATCTACTTGAGATGGATAGGATATTTGAAGGAAAGTATAGTAAGGCGCTTGATTATGTGAAGGTCAATTGGTTGAAAGAGTATAAGGATAGGTTTGTGGCTGTATGGACAGACACTTGCATGCATTTTGGCAACACCACATCGAATAGGTACGTCGACTATTTAATAATAATTCATATCATCTATATATTTCTTTGATTATTCCTAGCTTATACTAAATCTCTTGTTTTAATGTTTATAAATAGGGCAGAAAGTGCACATTCACAACTAAAGCGACAACTTGGCACAAGCCAATGCAACTTCGAAACATCGTGGGCCAAGATTCATGCCATGTTAGTATTGCAACACACTGAGATAAAGGCTTCATTTGAGAAGAGTCAATCATTTGTCCAGCATGAATTCAATAAGGTGAGCCTACTTAAAGACTTGATAGGGTATGTGTCTATTGTTGCCTTAGAGGAAATTTTGTGTGAGTCAAAGAGAATACAATATGTCGGGGCTGATCCCATTGCATGCGGCTGCGTTATTAGACGTAGCCACGGGTTACCATGTGCTCATGAGATGGCTGAGCTAAGTCGAGTATTCCGACCCATTCCTCTTCATTGTGTTCATCCTCACTGGAGGAAATTAGATATGTTTCCTACCGCACAAATTAATGATAACTTAGATTCTCCTGAAGATGCAAAGATTGATGTATTTGTCAACTGGTTTAAAAGTAATGATTCTGACACTAAGAGACATATTGGTATGAAATTACAAGAGATTATGGATCCAAAATCTTCAACACTTAGAGAATTCTTGGCGTAAAGTAAGGAGGAAGGGCGTCCGAGTAATTTTGACAAGTCTACTCGTAGATTGCCTTCAGCCTTTGAGCTTGCTGAATCCGATTGTAATAGGAATTCTCGAACATTGTCTGACGGTGTAGTCTATACGAAACCTCCACCAAAAAAGCGAAAGAAACAAACACCCCCATTAACAGTAAGTACTTCATATTTCAAATGCCATATCTCTTATGTTTCTACCAATGGAAAGTCATCCTTTGCCTGAATATCAATGTCGGGAAATTTCCATCGGATTGGTTGAAAAACACTTTGTGCAGGTATAATAATAAATTTTTTCTATTTATAGCTGCTAGTTTTGCCTTGTGAAATTTGTTTGTTGTTTTAACTATACATTTGATAACTTTATTTTATTTTGACAGCTACACTTGCAACCACACCATCCTATGCCACCTGTTATCAATCGTTGGCTTGATATTTCCAACCTCAAAGCATTTGATTGGTATAGTCCATATCAAGATCGCATTGGAAAGAGCTTACTGATTCATTTGATGTACATCTTGATGTATATTGATCCCTTACTATTAGATGTATATTGGTATAGTTCATATCGAGATCACATTGACAATTGTATGTTCTTTGAACTGAAATTCATTCCTTTCAAAGATATATTATGTTCTTTGAACTCAAATAACGCATGATGAATGTATTGTGTGATTAAACAATGAAACCAGTATAACAGTAAATTTAGGCACTTTTTCTATACTCTTGAGAAGGTACCATCTTTCATTCAGTTATAAATCATATGTATGAGCTATGTCAATCATCATTAACCCTTGAAATAATTTTCCAATTTAGATTCAGAAAACAAATTACTTTGAGTATAAAAGATTAATACATGCACGAATAAGAATGCTGCCACAACGAACCAATGCACTGCAAAACTCAAGGAAGAATAGGAAGCAACAACAATTTATATCAGTTTGAAACTTGAAGGAATTCTTTTAAGGACAATTATTCAAATGTCAAACAAGCCACGTGAAGTTTTTCAGTGTAAACATGAATGGGCTAAGCTTGCGGACTTAAGAGTTAAATTGTATGTTTATGCACTTGAAAACAGACAATGAATAAGACTCTGAAATATCATCAAAAAATTAATTTAATACTTACTATTTCTCATGCTCAGAACGTATTTTCTCCTCTAAAGGTAGCTTGTGGGGTTTAAATAGAAAATCTCTTTTATTTCTTATTTTTTCAGCTTGGGGTGTATTTAATGGTAGTTTGGGAAGATAGTGGGGTTTACTTAGAAATTATAAAAATTTAAATTAAAAGTTGGGGTAAACTAAGAGAAGTGTGGGATTTAAATAGAAAATCTCTAAAATATATATATCTATATATATAAAGCAAAAGGCAGAGAATGGTGAAACATTCAAAATACCAGAAAATGCCCTTGGTAAATGCAAACATTAAGAATTAAAATTATTAATTAAATGAGGATAATATGGTAAATTCACACATTTTCATATTTAAAAAAAATATAATTAAAAAAAAATCAGATAATGGCCTATTTTTATGAAACACAAATACCCATTATTTTTTTTAATTCTAAATAAATTAAATATAAAAAAAAAAAAAAAATCTCTTGCAGGTGTAGAAGCGCATGCAGAGAGGCTAGTATATATAATTGAGGGACTACTACATCCATTTTCTGAATTCAATGACCGAAATGAAAATCCGGAACAAATTCAGGACTATTACCCTGTCTTTTTAACAAAAAACAAGAATTAACAAATAAAAGAGGGGCCATTTTCTAGCCGTAGAATTACCTTCCCGCAACTTATCGGCCATGGCTGTTGCCACAGTTCCTGTGAACTCAGTGTGCGCATGTACACTGCGCTCACTGCGCACCTCAACCAAATTTGTGTCCCAGTTCTTAACAAAATGCTCGTCCTTCAAATTGGGTTTTGAATCTCTGCAACTCCGGACCACCCTACCCTCAAGAAAGCTTGTGGTTCGAGCAGCTAGAACCGAGTCCAAAGGGGTCTCTTTGGGCTTCCGAGCTCCCAATTTTGAGGTACTACATATGTACTGATTCTTTTTCCTTTTCATTTCTTTTTAGATTTGTTCCGAACTGGGTTCACAGTTTATTCTTCCTTTTGAGAATGTGTGCGCGTGAGTTTTTATTCTTTGTTTTGATTATTTTGGGGAATTGATTTTAGATTCCAGAGCCACTAACTGGGAAAGTTTGGAAACTGGAGGATTTTGAATCACATCCTGCTTTATTGGTGAGTTCCCGTTGTGTATTTGTTTTGTTTTGGATGGCTGTTGTTTTTTGTTTGTTTGTTTGATTTTGTGATTATATAGGTCTGTATTTGATATTTTGTGAATTGATTTCTAGATAAACTAAAAGGAACTGAGTGAGTTCTTATGAAATAACGGCTTCAAATGATTTAATATTGTTTTGTCTTACGAGCATTTGAATGCAACTATTCGTTGGAATGCCCAAGTTGTAAAGGGAAAATTCTTGTATGAGGAATTTGCAGTGCCTGACTAGGACAATGTGGAGGTGCTAATATTCCATTAATGGGATTTAAGTAAAAAGCTATATAGAAAATGAGTACATATTCTAAATATTAAACGAATAGTACTAAACCGTACATCTTCTTTCATGCATTTAAATGGCACCTTGATAGTGTGTGTGTGAGAAAAGTAATGGTTACTGTCATAATTTTTTCAGTCTTTTTTCACTTTGAAAAGCTAGCATTTTTGCCTTGCTTTGGAATTTATGATTGCTTAAATCATAATCAGGCTGCTTGTGCTTAACTTGAGCTCTGATAGTTAAGCAGCAGATTTGAGCTTATTTATGAACCAGGTAAGCCAAGATCAATCCGTAGACTGTAGCGAATTGCTGAATGAACTGAGAAAAAAATTAAAATGTTACTACCTTCAGCTCATATGGCCTCAAGTTTTTTTGTTTTTGTTTTTTGTTTTTTGTTTTTTCAGAACAAGTTACTTTAGTAATAACAGCCATCTGTTACTCTGCCAGATATCAGATACTCAGAAAAACATGTGGTTGTGAGCTTTATACAGCTTAAAAACAGATGGCATGTCACCATTTTTCCCAACCATGGAAGCTTGACATTTCACTAAGATAGAGTGTGTATAAAGCAAGAATACCACTAATCATGTCTGTCAGCCTTGGAAATTGAAGAATTGTCTGGAGTCCTTGGTAGTCTGATAGTTATTTTCAGTTGCTAAGCTAGTTTACATGTCCATGAATTTATGCAATTATAGGTATAAGATTAGTTTAATGCCACATATATCAATTTACATAATTGATATATTAATTTTGAGAAAAAAAGAAAAACTTACATGTGGCAGGGACCTTTTTTCTTTTAAAATGCTAATTATTGGCCAACAGTTTACTCAGTAAGATAAAACCAAAGAACTGTAGTTGAATAATTGTACTAGGAGTCATTTCTTGAGCGTTACCAATGTTATTCTGATTTAACTGGAACATTTTCCACTGAATACTTAATTAGTAAGTGGATCTATGTGCCACCGCAGGACCTTTAAAAAGTTTCGGGCCTTTCAGCATTATGCCAATTTTTTCTGTGCATATATGCACGTGAACTAGGTTTGTAGCTCTGGAAAATAAGAAGGAAAGAAGAATTGTGCAAGGGTTTAGTAACAGATCAACACAACCCGTAAACCACAATCTGTTATACTGCTACTCTTCATGCAGGAAGTGAACTCTATGGGTTTTCTTTACTAAATCTAAAATTTGGTTGCTTGTATTCTATCTTTCTTCACATATAAGCAAGGATTAGATGCTTTTTAACAGTGCGATGGCGCAGGTGATGTTTATCTGCAACCACTGCCCGTTTGTTAAACACCTGAAAAAAGGTATCGTGAAGCTTGCAAATTTCTATATGAAGGTAAGGCAGCTGAATTTGCTCCTTCTGAGAGGCTTGATTTGCTAAAGTTGTACCAAACTTCACTGAGCAAATTAATATAGGATAGTAACATGTTCAAATGTGTATTTATTTCAAATATATTGTTATTATTAATATCATTCTTTCTTTTTTCAGAAAGGACTTGCAGTTGTTGCGATATCTTCGAATTCTGTAGCTACGCATCCACAGGTACTACACTTGTACTAACTCCATAATTTGGGGTTAGAGTTTGTGAAGCTGTTGTATGATCAGTCAAAGTGTGGGAACTCTTCCTGACAGGATGGACCACAATTCATGGCAGAAGAAGCTAAGCTGTTCAAATATCCTTTTCCATATCTATATGACGAGGTATGCTACTTCCAAAGTGCCAATCTCAACAGCTTTATAAATCTAGCATTTCTTATTTCATTTTGTTTCTCAATATGGCTTTTGGAAATGTGCAATGGTTGAGTGACAATATTTTACTCTCATAAGAATCTGGCTAGGTTTTGGTCCAACTGCAAAGCTCTCATTCATGCGTGCATGCACACATGAATCTATTAAAATTAAGTTTCTCAATGTACTAATCCAAACTTGAACTTTATCGGGAAATTGGGCAAAATACTATCCCTTTGCAAATTTATTGGCCAAATACTGTCCACCTTATAATCATTTATCAAATACTATCTATAAATACTGTCTTATTGCCTACTTAACACTTTTTATCACCTTTTTCTTTTCTCTCTCAACTCTCTCTTCGCTGTCTCTCTCTCTCAGCTCTCAAAGTTTCTTTTCTCTTTTGTTTCTTGCAAATCAATCTCAAGCACTCAATCAATAGGTTTGTTTACCGTTTCTTGGAATGAACTTGGTTAATTGATGATTCTTTCATGCCTCTTAATTGATGATTCTCTATGTCTGGTTTTGGGTCTTTTGATTTCCACCTAAAATCCCATTTCAATCCCTTCATTTCTTTTTTATTTTGGGCCTTTCTTTTGTGATTTATTCTTCTGCCGGGACTATAAGAAGCAGAAGAGGAAGAGCTCTTCTTGGGTCTTTTCTGCAGAACCTAGTGGCTTGGCTGTTAAGATTGCATCTGGAGGTTGACGATGGAGTTGAGCTTTGTGGGTTTCACGATTTAGAAGAAAAATGATATTAACATATATTCCTATTAAATTACAGTAACACAGCAATATAACACCAATAACACATCAATATAACAGCAATAACATAGCAATAAAACATCAATATAAGACCAATAACACAGCAATACACAACAATACAAAGACAAACCCTTCATCCCATGATAGCTGCAAACAAAAAAGTCACAATGACTCATTTTTGGGGTGAGTACAAACTGTTGTTTTTACGTAGTAAAAATTGATGTAGCACCAGTACAGAGAACTTAGAAATCTAGAGAGATTAAGAGAAGAACCTAATGAGACAAAAGAACAAGAGAGCAGTCATTGTGACTTTTTGTTTTCAGCTGTGATGGGCTGAAGGGCTTGTCTTTGTATTGTTGTGTATTGCTGTGTTATTGGTGTTATATTGACGTTATGTTGCTATGGTATTGTTGTATATTGCTGTGTTATTGGTGTTACATTGCTGGTTATTGATGTTATATTGATGTTGTATCGCGAAACCCACCATTGACCCCATCTTTTAGCTCTCTCTTCTGAATTGCCTAAGCTTGCAGCTGTTTCAACCTCAAAGCTCAACTCCATCGTTGACCTCCAGCTGCTACCTTAACAGCCAAGCCACCAGGTTCTGCTGAAAAGACCCAAGAAGAGCTCTTCGTCTTCCACTTCTTATATTCCCAGCAGAAGAACAAAATCACAAAAGAAAGGCCCAAAATAAAAAAGAAAGGAAGGGATTGAAATGAGATTTTAGGTGGAAATCAAAAGACCCAAAACCAGACATAGGGAGAGAGAGCGAAGAGGGCGCTGAGAAAGAAAAGAAAAAAGTGAGAGAAGTGTTAAGTAGGCAATAAGAGAGTATTTATAGATAGTATTTGATAAATGATTATAGGGTGGGTAGTATTTGGCTAATAAGTTTGCAAAGGGATAGCATTTTGCCCAATTTCCCAACTTTAGCTAACATTTAAACATTGGAGAATAGGAGGTACTAATGGCTCCAAGGGCGAGGCTAGGTTGATATTTGGCATGCATGCATGACAGGCTGGGACTTTTCATGGTTCATTTTAAAACATTGATCCCTGAAAAGCAGAATTTCCTTCCAAGTGTAAAATTAGAAGTACTGAAGAATATAAGAAGTTGCCCTTAGAGTGAGGCTTTTTAGAAAGAAAAAAAGAAAAAGAAATGATAGTCTTGGTTATTCCTTAACCTGAGCAACTTGAGTCTCTTCTTTCCCTTTTCCTATTTTACTGGTTTTCATGGTTTTTTGTTAGCTGTTAGCTAGCCATTCCTAGAATTGAGATTTTGAGGGCAGTAGAACTTCAGGTCGCACATTGTGTTAAGTGTAATACTATATCAATTTGATTGAAACACAGTTATGCCTGGTAACTCTCTAAATTCATTATCTTTGTTAAATATATTTAATACAGTCACAGGATGTCGCCCAGGATTTTGGAGCAATTTGCACACCCGAGTTTTTGCTATTTAAAAAGGTGACCACAACCTGCACCAATCAATTTGCTGAATTTACTCAAGAACACGACCTCATTTCAGCTTTCCTTTAGGGGACTCATTGTAAACTTATCACTGTATCTCAATTTGAGTTAATCCAACTTCTATTTGTTTTACCCTTTCTAGCATGCAACTAAATTTATTACCGTGTAATAGGATGGACGGAGGCCATTTGAACTGGTGTACCATGGACAGTTTGATGATTCAAGACCTAGTAATAATGTGTCTGTAAGTGGAAGGTAGGAAATTCATTTTCATATTAGCGTTATGACTTCTATTGTAAGGTGTGGAAACTGATTTAGAAAACTCCATGTAGGGACTTGAGCCTGGCAATAGATTGTGTTCTCAGTGGCCAACCGGTACCATCGATTCAGAAACCAAGGTACTTCTTTCTTATGCGACGTTTGTCAGGTCTTTAGGATTATGTTCGGCCATGGTTACATTCTAAAAGTAATTGCTTTCCCCCCATTTTTTTTGTAGTGTTGGATGCAGCATAAAGTGGCACCCTGAGAGAAAACTGTGATATGCAAATCTTGGTTTCAATTTTCTTGAGATTATAACCTGTGAGTAAAATTTTTTCTTTCAGGAATTTGTTTGTAAAGGCCGACAGCCATATTGGTATCTGAATGTAACTTATAATTTCTTCTTTTTCTTGTTTCTCTCCATTCCTCAAATCTTCCTTTTTCATTGCTTGGGATTTCTGAAACCTTATAAAGCTAGGAAGTAATGTAATATTATTATTATTTTCTTCATTTGTAATTAGAAACTTTTTATTTATTGTAATGATCAATAAAGTCATCCCCCTCAAGATATGGGATGTCTGATGATGTTTGCACGCTTGATCTTCGATGTTTTCCGCTGCCCCAATTCTTATGCCGATTTGCTGACAAATCTAGTTTAGAATGTGTTGTTAGGTGCTGATTTACAGTCTTATTATTATTAAATATATCTCCTTACTAATTTCCTTGGTCAGGGGAAAACAGGTTTTAATTTCATCTCTTAATTATACAGGAGAAATAAAAATACCCCATGAACTCATCGTAAAAACCACGCAACTAATTGCACCAACACCTGCAAAATCATGGACATGGCCTAAAGGAGAAAATGATATGGTATGTTCTCTATGCTACTATAAGGCTGTCTTTTGATGTATAAGCTGTAGGATATTGACAGGATACGTTTGGAGACTTTTCACCTTTAACAGCTGATAAGAACATCTTTTTCATTTCTTATTGGATTTTCCTGCTGTCACATTCCTTGGTCGATGCATGATTTTATTTATTTATTTATTGTATTGTGAATACAATGAGGGGTAGGTTTTCCCTTTCCAAATCCCACCCTTCCTTTTGTGTCTAGATTGGAACATGAATTCATCAACGGATGAATGAGTAAGTAGATGGTAGGTGAAAGTATGAAATAAGGATAGATTAGATGTTGGAATTCATGGTGAGTGTATGACATTCTAGGGTGATTGATAAATCCAATGTGATGAACGAGATGCCTTTTTTTATTAGTACTACTACCTGTAGCCGGTGGTGGTGGTGGTTTGATGGCTCTAAAAGTTTTTTCTTTTCTTTTCTAATGACATGTTTATTGTTTATTGGAATTATTCCAATTCATACTTTTCTTACTAATACATGCGTATTGAATTTATTCCACTTCTTGACTTTTCCCGCGTTTACTAACAAACATGGAATCAAAATTATGTAATCCAATACCTGAAAAATCAGGAATTAGATTGATTAGGAGGAGGAGTTGATCCCATTCTCATTTCTCTCTCGTTTATTAAATTCCCCAATTCATAACTTCTTACATTTACAGTAAGTAAATGCCCTAAAATCTCACCTACCAATTAGAATGCATGATTTAAAGCTTATTTATCCTAACATTATCAATCATGCCGAGAATGGGATCAAAAATGGAAAAATCGATAAAAAGTGGATGCCGATTGAAGTGCTATGCTTCAATTCTGAAAATTATTGCTTTTATTGGAAGATTTAGAAGAGTGATTAGTGGATAGTTGCTTGCATTATTAGCCATTAGAATCTGATGAGTTACAATACACAATCAGAGTGGGCCTTAGATGGTTCAGTGTCACATGTCCAAGGACAGTGTATCCTTTCAAGAACATGCAGATCATGAAATCTCTTTTTATTTGAGAAAAATAATTGTTGGAAAAAGCTTGAGAAGGATAGTGGTCCAATTTGTTTCTAATATCATGTTTTTTTCTGTGGCTTATATTAAACAAGATTGTCACCTCGACCATTGCTTTTTTAGTCGGCACAAGACCCCACAGACAAACCCAATGGGGCTTGAAAGCTATGACTACTGCTGTTGGTCCCCAAATTGATAATTGCAATTTTGTTGCTCAGTCCTTTTGTGATATTTTACGTACTTCGAAATTGCATTATCAATGGCAGCAGGTTATTGCATTGTTGGGACAATCTGCTGGAATCTTGGCTTTAAATAATGAAGTTTCAAAGTTTTTCTTTCTTCTTTCTAAATTTGAGTCACCGAAATGTGACAGATGATACAGTGAAATCTTAGTTATATGTAGAAATAAATGAGGTTTAGAGTGGGATTCTGCTGTTAACTTGAGGATATTTTTCTCTTTTAATATATTTGCTTGGAATTGTCAAACATAGCCTCTGATCTGGAAAAAAAAGGGATATCACTATTTTGCTATTTCCGGCTACTAACGATATGCCACGTGGAAAAGTTATCACTCGTGTCCTAGCGCTTTTGGCCGGAGATAGCAAAATAGTGCTATCCCTATTTCATGCATGTGTTTCTCCACATCTGGAGAGCATGCATCTGATTGTATCTTCTTACTTTTGAACTAGGCACATTTTACTTTTGCCTTGGTATCTGCACTATTTCTTGGAATTGTCAAACATAGCCTCTGATCTGGGAAAAAAAGGGATATCACTATTTTGCTATTTCCGGCTAATAACGATATGCCACGTGGAAAAGTTATCACTCGTGTCCTAGCGCTTTTGGCTAGAGATAGGAAAACAGTGTTATCCCTGTTTCATGCAAGTGTTTCTCCACATCTGGAGAGCATGCATCTGATTGTATCTTCTTACTTTTGAACTAGGCACATTTTACTTTTGCCTTGCTATCTGCACTAAGGGAGATAGAGGAGAAAGCCCCCATTCTGATAATGCAATTCCTGAATCATAGTGAAAGACAATAAACATGTCTTATTGCTACTACTCAACATTAATCTATACAAAGTGTATCTTTTTACCTGAACAAAAAATAAAAATTAATGAAGTGGAATGATGACTTTAGGGGTTTGTGGGAAAACAAGAAGGTGATCCAATTAGAGGTTCAGATGACCTGGAGAAGCTGGAACTGTGGACTGTAACTTGCGCATCTCCTTTTCCCAGAAAATCCGGTTTTTCCCAATCCTCATTTTCTTGTCTGATCTCCTTGAGCATTGCTGTTACATCTTTCATTGTTGGCCTATCCTCTGGGCAAGGATTAACACAGAGCAGGGCCACCCCAAGCACTTGAAGCATCTCTTGGGTTTGTGTCCCTGATCTCAATATTAGCTGCTGGTCAAGAATTGATGTGAATTCCCGTTTCCTCTCCCGGAGTTCCTTATTGACCCAAGTGACAATATGGGCACCCTCCGGAATCTTGTTATCCATCGGTTCCTTCCCGGTTAGGACCTCCAGGAGCACCACTCCATAGCTGTACACATCACTCTTTTCTGTGATTCTCAAACTATATCCATATTCTGCAAAACATTTTTACATTACAAGCAGTGTTAGTCAGGTATAAAAACCATGTGACCTACATCATCTTTATAGGAAGCAAAATAACATTGAAACTGGATTCATCGACAATAAGAATAAGAGATTAAGGGTTGTGAACAAGTTCAACAACTATGACATTAGACTGGTTTGATTGAGTAACCCGAATAACACAATGAACAGACCACAAAAGAATATGAGGAATTTAGACTCACCTGGAGCAATGTAGCCATAAGAACCTGCAACTGTGTTGGAGGCTCTGCCGCATTCTGGAGAACTCAAAAGCTTTGCAATGCCAAAATCTGCTAGAAAAGATTCATACTGTGGTCCTACCAAGATGTTGTTAGACTTAATATCCCGATGAACGATTGGAGGTATACAATCATGATGAAGATAAGCTAAACCATGAGCTGCTCCCAGTACAATCTTGTACCTTGCATCCCAGTCTAAGAACAGCCTTGTCTCATGGAGCAATCCACCCAAACTGCCATTGCTAATGTAATCAAACAAAAGCAGTCTGGTTTTTCCGTTGTTACAACATCCCAGAAGCCTCAATATGTTTTTATGCCTAATTGATCCAAGAGTACGAACTTCTGTAGAAAACAAGTCGATCTGTGGACGCTCGCCATTATTTACCGGCCATAGCTTCTTCACTGCAATGACCTGTTTTGTCGGAGTCTCCACACGATAAACCATTCCTGAGCAACCCTTCCCCACGATGTTTGAATCTGATAGTCTAGTCACAATATCATTAACAGAAAAATTAAGCTTTTGAAATGGGGTGAAATCCCATATCAAATGACTTTCTTCTTTACCGTCCATCCCAAATGTGATTCCAGCAACTCTAACGAATAAAACTATTCCAGCAAGCATTAGCAATATAGTTGCAGTCACACTAAGAAGAACACAAACAATTAGATATCTGATGGATTTCTTGTCATGCAGGTTACCGTTCAAGTGGCACTCATTTCTGTTAATGCATAGCTTCGGGTTGCCCTCATATGCAGTTGATGGAATATCTTTGAAGAAATTAGTATTGGGAAGTGGACCAGAAAAGTCATTGTATGAGACATTCAGGGACACAAGATTGTCGAGACTGCCCAGTACTTTCAGGCTTCCTGTCAGCATATTGTGGGAGAGATCCATATTGGCAAGTTTCGAGAGATTTGAGAAGCTTTCTGGAAGGGGGCTTGTCAGAGAATTCCAACTCAGATTCAAGAGAATATCTAGACCTTGCAAGCGTCCGATCTCATCTGGGATAGAGCCAGTGATATTGTTGCTGCTCATATCCAACAGCTGCAAATCCTTACAGAAGCCCAATGATTTTGGTATGGAACCTGTAATGTGGTTTCCACTGATGACCAGTTTGTTTAGGAATGTCAGATTGCCCAAATTTTCAGGAATCGCTCCTTCTATCATGTTCATGGAAAGGTCTAAAACATTAAGACCAGTAAGGAATTGGAAAGATGAAGGAATCATGCCTTGGAGCTCATTGCCATGCAAATCAACCATTTCTAACTGGGTACAGTTTCCAATTGCAGGAGGAATTTCCCCATTAAATTGATTTTCTGACAATTCAAGGAAGGTCAATCTATGAAGGAGCCTAAGTTCAGATGGAATTTGACCTGTGAAGTTGTTTGATCCCAGCCGTAAGCGGATCAAGTTGGTGCAGTTACCAATATTGGTTGGAAGAACTCCTGAAAGTTGATTTGATATCAACAACAATTGAGTTAAGTTCTTGAGGTCAAAGAGAGAACTTGGAACTGACCCATTGAGGAGATTGTGTGAAAGGTCCAAAGCTTGAAGTTTCTCACAATTGGCCAGCTCAGTTGGTATGCTTCCATGCAGCTGATTCTGCCAGGCAAAGAACAGAGTAAGTTCTTTTAGTTTCCCAATGACAGGTGGAATCTTGCCAGTAAATCTGTTGTTGTCCAATTCCAGTTGCTTTAAACTGGAAAGGTTTCCAAATAAAGGTGGTATGCTGCCTGATATATTATTCTCAGACAGCAGAAACTCCTCCAACGCCACCAAATTTACAAGAGAAGGAGGAACCCCACCACTCAGAAGATTCATTGAGAAATCGATCACTATCAAATGTGAACAGTTCCCTAAAGCACCTGGAATACTTCCAGTTAGATTGTTCTTCCACAATAGAACTCTTCTGAGTCTTTTCAACCGACTAAATTCACCGGGAATATGACCAGAAAGCTGGTTTTCGTACAGAAACAAATTTTCCAAGGCTGCACAGTTACCAATTTCTGGTGGGATGGCACCTGTGAGGTTTGCAGTATAGACTGAAAGTGTTTGGAGATTCTCTAGTTGTCCTATGCTGCTTGGAATCTGCCCCGTGATTCCCGTAGCTGCAAGGCCAAGAAAAGTTAGTGCTTTACAGTTTGATATCTGCATTGGAATTTCCCCATGAATTCCAGGATTCCCGCCTGCACGGAAGATTTCCAGAGCTGATAACTGGCCTATTTCTGCAGGAACCTTTCCGGATAGCTGGTTATCGCGGAAGATGTCCAGAGCTGATAACTGGCCTATTTCTGCAGGAACCTTTCCGGATAGCTGGTTATCGTACAGCTCAAGTTGTTGAAGCTGTGAACAGTTTCCAATTTCTTTTGGAATGACACCATGCAAGGAATTGGAATTCAGTGATAATAACTGCAATTTGGATAACTTTCCTATCTCCTGTGGAATTTTACCTGTTAGAGCATTGAAGCTGAGATTCAGGGTGGTAAGCGAAGACAAGTTTCCAATCGAGGGTGGAATTTCTCCGCTGAGGTTCCCATTTGAGAGTACAAGGGTGGTAAGATAGTTGAAGGAGAGGAGCTGGCTTGGGAAACTGGTAGGAACATTGAGTGAGGTGATTGTGATTTCGGAAACAAACCTGCTGCTGGAACATATGATATAATCCCATTTGCATGGATCCTGGTCAGCTGGATTCCATGAAGAGAAAAAGGCAGCAGAGGAAGAAGAATTAAAGGTTGAAAGCCATGAAAGTAGGGAGAGGCCCTCTTGGTTCAGAGCAGAGGTGGCAGGAAACAAAGAGATATTGAGAAGCAAGAGAATAATAGTGATTGCATTGCTTGACATGATGAGGTTAATAACAACACTGCTACTTTCTATCTCATCTGAGTCTCTTTAAATCTCTCATCATGTGATAGTGGGATATTGAACTGGCTGCCTCAATCCTTCAAACTGCTTTTTCAGCGGAAAACATTGCTTAAATTTCCTTGGAATAGACTAAAAGCTAGGGCCTTGGAGGGACAGATTAGTTTATGGTTTCTAGTGCAGTTCTGGATATATTAAAAAATTATATATATAAATTGATAGAAAATTTTGAGTATGAAGGGACCTAACTATAGTTTATATGATTGGGGTTATGAGGGACATGCCGTCTTTGAAAAATTGACAAATCTTTAATTATTCATCTATTCCTTTCTGTCATGGGTGTATATTTTTTTGTTTTTTTCCCTCTCATAACATTTGGAAATTAGTCCAAACTAATAACATTATGAAAAATACCAGTGAGGCAAAATCACTACAGGACATATAAGAAAGATTTCGTTAAGCTTTTCTCCTTTTCATTGCTCACCAAATTTGGATGGGATCTCTTGTAATTAGGTAGCTTAACTAATAAGATGAGAGTTCATCGTCTGCAAGTGCACGATTTTTCGGCTTTGAAGTATACTGTACAAATACAAAAACATCCATATGGCAGATTTTGCTTTCTGCATACTTGGTTGCATGCTTCAAATTCTGTTGTACAACAAGCTTTAGTCGTATGCTATGGATATACTGCTATCGTTTGGTGGATTCACTCTAAATCCCTTCATATAATGATTGCTCATCTTTTCAGTTAATTGCAGAACAATCCACATAATGAAAATGACTAAGCAGCCCTCCCAACCCAACAAGGGGAAAAAAAAATTGTAAATAAAAAGAGACACTTCAACTTTTTTATGTAATGAGGAGTATGGTGAGGTCTTCAGATCACCTTTGTATCTGATAAAGTTGTTCATGTCATGGACGTAAGTCAGCGGTTTTCTGAAGGGACAACAACACAGGTCCATGCCTCTTCATGAAAAAGGCTCTTTTCCTTGCCCATGCATGAACCTTCCCAAAACCCCCAAAAAAAACAGCTCAAATTTGCTTTGTCCATGACCTACTAGTAAAAATTTTGCAAGTACCTCCCTGGATGTATTGGTTTTTTTTCTTTCTGACCCATTTTTTCTATCAGATCATGTTTCCTTTTCAACGTCTGTGATCAGAAGTAGATGGTAAATTAACATATATAGGAGCCAACAAGGTGTGGCCTAGTGAAAAAGAATCTTGCCTTGCACACCACTGTGTGTGAGAATACCCTTCTCGTCCCCATAACACATTGGCAGTGTGTGAGAATACCCCCTCCTCCTCCTAACTCCGGGAAAAAAAAACAGAGACATATATAGGGAACAAAAGGCAGCAAGTATTATACACTAGAGCATTAATTAATTTGTATTTGATTTATTTTGTGAGAAATTAAGTACATAAATCTAACAAATATTGTGAGGTGTAGGGAATATAGGCCTACAATTATAGGGAAACCCTAGTCAACATGGCATTGAAGAGAATTTTGGGAATATAGCAAACATACAAACAGAAAAGAATAAGGAAAATGATGCATCACTAGCGTAGGTCTCATAAGGATGTCTCCTCAATGTGAAATGGAAACAAGTGGAATATCTGTAAGGGGATAAGTTATGTATGGATGGTGGGGGCAAGTGATCCCCCAACCACATTTGGTGCCAAATGACTATTTAAATTTGCAAAGTTTTCATTTGGGTTTTTGGTTTTACTTGAAAGTGACCCATAACTCTTTCCAGCTAATTAAGATGGTGAAAAAAATGGAATTAAAAGAGGTTGGAAACGCCTAGAAAGGAAATTGCATCAACAGAAAGTGAAGATAGGAGACACACAGTACCAGAAATGAATAGGGTTAACCCTCTAGATAATCACGAAGGTTAGACATATCATTCACTTATCAACTTAATAATGACATTTTTGTTGATGTTCGATAATATATGTGCGCATAAGTGAATGTCTTTAATCACTTGAATTACAAACTACTTATACATCGATTATCGGGTACATGAATGAGAGTCTTAATCACTTGAGTTACAAATTAGTCCCATAGTCGCTTATGAATTGAGTGCACTGAATGAAGAAGTTTGGACTTAGTAAAGCAAATCATTGAATAAAGTGGCCCAACCAAGCGTGTGGTAATGGCCTAAAAGAGAGGCTTGTTATGGAGGGGGGTAGGGGCGGGGGTGGGGGGCCGCATATTTGCTTCAGCAGGGAGGCACAAAAAGCGAAAGAAAGAACAGTAATTCTGTTGTTGTGCTTCGCAAAATCTAACCAACCGGGAAGGAATTGGCCTTTGCAGTTCATATATCATAATCGAAGATATTGGATCTTGATTGCAGGTTGGACTACATTAAGATATGTTCACAAGATTTAAGAAGAAAAAAGAATAAAAACCTAATGAGATCTGGATTTTTACTCTAATGTGCAAACATACACTTCGTAAAATCTTTAATATGTTAGGTATTTTAGATTTTCTTTTAATTAATTTCATTTTTACCCAAGTATACTTGCTGCCAAAGTTTTTGAAGCCCTGTAAATTTTAGATATTTGCAATCAGTCCAGAGAGATGAGTATGCATGATGTTAATCACGTGTTGTTAACAATTCACTTATATTATAATACATGTATTTATTCAATCTCTCGGGAAAGTTTTTAATAATCATTAGGGGAGTTTGTATGATTTTCTGGTGATTGGACCTAGGACCTAGCATTCACCTTACTTTCAATGCAAAATCAGCCCAATCAAGGCATTGTATTTGGGCCAGAGTTTGATCCTAACTAGCCCAAGCTTAATATTGGTTAGAACATGAAAAGTATTCCTTGCCTAGTTCACAATTATGCTGCAGATGGATAAAAAGTGCACCAGAAGTTCCATAATGCTTTACAATAAGGAACATCAATTCCTTGCCTCATTTGCAATCATCTTATTTGTTATAACAACCAATTGGGATGCCTAACAATAACCTTTCTCTTTCTCTCACAAAATTTCTCAATTTCTAGTACATGGCCTCTCTGACCCAATATTCTGTAGGAGCTTGCCTCACCCCAAACAAGAGCTTCAACCTCAACACATTATTTTCTGTTTTTCCACAAGCACTCAATGCAACAAGTCATATCAGAAACCAGAAGACCCAATTGTCATTAAGTGGGAAAAAGCTGCAGCAAAAACTAATTTCAAATATTGTTGGGAAAAATTGCAAATATGAGAAATGGAGAGTTTTTGGCAGTGATGATGGATCTTGTGGGATTGCACCTCTGCCACTCCCACCTTCTGTGTTGGAGGCAGTTCAAGATTTCTACAAGGCCATCAATGCCAAGGACATAAAAGCTCTAGAGCAACTTCTAGCTGATGACTGCCAGTATCAAGACCTTGTCTTTTATGTTCCTTTTGTAGGAAAAGAGGTTTCATTGCTTTCTCCTTTCTCTCTACTCATAGTGTGAATTTTATTGAAATTGGAAGATGTGACACAAGTTAATAGGTTTCATTGGTATTTGATAAATTAATTACAATCATGCTGAACACCAAATTTATTCGCCTAATTTGTTCACGAAAAATAATGTCTGTACATATGTCAATATCTTATTTGTTTAAAGAATAAATGAGATTTAGAATAGGGTCAAAATTTCATTTGTTTAATAACAGAATTTGATTAAGAAATTTTCTTATTAAAGAGGTACTTTACTAACGAAATGAGGTGTTTGGGAATATGCCCAGGCGACCGTGCAATTTCTTAAGAAGGTGATGGATGCAATGGGATCCAATGTTCATTTTGTCATTGATGCTGCGACTGAAGGTGGGAACTTGACCGCCAGTGTAATTTGGCATCTTGGTAAGTTTCACAACCTTAATTATCTTGAACTTGACTGCGTCACTGTGTGTCGGATCGTGTTACGTGTTTAATAATTTGGTCATGTTTGAGTAAACAAAGTTGAAACACGACTAATAATTGTGTAAATCTAATCAATTAAAAGAATGTTTTGCAATAGGACATAACATTGGCACCTCAAATGCAATTTTCTAGTGATTGGATATTTGTCTTTGGATGTTTTACAGAGTGGAAAGAGAAAGAGATACCCTTTGCCACTGGTTGCACTTTCTTCGAATATGCACAAGTTGAAGGGGAGCTCTTTCTTAGGTATGATTTCCAATTGTCTTGTACTTCAGAGAATTTATATATTTGATCTAAATTCTGTGACTGACAAGAAAACACATGCAGGAAAGCAACCGGCATGGAAGAACTTCCATTCAAACCAGGTGATTTGGTACTGGTACGGATCATATAACCTAGTTATATCATGCTTACATTATATAATTACTTCCTTTGATTGATTGTTTGATTGATTTATTTATTTATATAAATACGCAGAAACTTTTGAAGTCAGCAAGTACCTTCTTTGATCTCTATCCAATGGCGGCTGAAGGTATGCAAACACTCAGTTATTTACACATTGCATGCGGGGCACTTCCAATGGGGAGGTTTTATTTGGGGTACCAATACCATATTTGAAGCCTAACTTTGAGATCTAAATGAGATAATTAATCCTAATATTTTTATTAATCTCAAAATTCTATTTCTTGGCAATTATTTTCAAATTTCCTAATTTAAGTGGTTTTTTTTTTCCTTTCTTTTTGGGCGAGGCTGATTGGCTTTCTCTGCTTTTTTGAGTTTTGCAGCGTTGTTGCTGAAGTCTCATGGAAGTGGCCCGCATGACGGAGTAGATTCACTTTTAGACAAGCTTCGGGGTAGACACTGAGCATGAATTTCTCAACTTCTGCGGTTCTACCAAGCCACATTTATTTACATGCCTTCTCTGATCTAATGATAGAGATTTGAGTCTCATTTATTTACAACCAATAACCAATTATTTCACACATAAATTTGTATTCAAATACGATCTGAATTCTCTATTTGGATTTATCTATTAGAATTTATTACTTGACTTTAGGATTTGCTTCACTTTTGTGGCTAAGAACACGAGTTCAAAATCTGATGGTAGTGAGTGAACTCCCGGCCTAGCTAGCTTCTTCCAGAGCCAGCCATGACTTTTGGGTGGCCCAGGGCATAAATTAAATTGAGGTCCTTCTCCTTTATATACAAGCCTTAACAAGAAAGAAAGAATTTTCTTTTGAAAATCTTGTAGAGCTTTGATTAGTCTAGCTTTGCTTTCCGAAACTGACTGCAAAGAGGATGATACATTGCAAATCTACAAATAAAAAATTATAATTAAATC